CCCCAAAACCCCAAAACCCCATTACTTGCTAATATCAATTTATTGGGAATTATGTTTAAAACTTAAATCTTAGTTCAAAATAGTTTCAACTTTCCAAAATCTTTTAATCTTTTCTTTTAACCTTGACCACTTTAAAATCATTCTTATTTCTTTTACTAGATAAATTAACTACTTTGCTCATATAAATCTTCGAAATCTAATTTTTTCTTTCAATAGATGATGTCAAAAGCTTAGATTGATTCATCATGTGGTAAAAATTTTAATTAGTTAAGCTATAGTTAACCTAGTCAGAATTAAACATAAGTGGAGGCAAAGTAAGCTGCTTCTAATCTACTTATAAGTCAGTCTGAGAATTTAAATTTAAATTCTAAGTTTAATTCCTATTTAAAAGTCAATTATAGATTAGGTTACATTAAATCATGCTATTCTTAGCTACTATAGGTAGGGGTATTGTATTAAGTTCTTAAGTGCAATGGTGATAATCCATTATTTTAGTTTGATATTTCAAATCTAGATTCCCAGTTTTTATCATTAGCTTTACTTTGCCTCTCAAGATTAATCAAATTTAATCTTTATTAATGACTGATATAGAGATTGTCACTTAAAGTTATATCTTTATGATGTTTTGGTTTGTCAAAATATCCCTATAGATTGCTAAATATTGGATTTTATAATCTTACCTTGTAAAATGAGTGTATCTTAGGATCATTTAATTGTGCTTAAGCAGAAAAGCTATCATCCCATTTTTATCTATGTGAAATTACATCTGGGATAATTAAGTTATGATGATTTTAGTTTTATTTAAGCCTAAATCAGCTATTTAATGCTCTTTTATTCACACTTTCTCTGGATATTCTCATTTAAGGATTCTATGTAGTTTCTAAATTAGAAATTTTATCATTTGATTCTTTGTTAGCCATCGCTATTTGCTTTTAAATATTATTTTTAGCATCGATCTTATTGCTTTATATTAATGAGGTTTTCTTGAACTAACTCTAAGAAATTTGGATATTTTTGCTGATGTTATTATTCTTAATCATTATATTACTCTAAGAATTCAAGGGTTTTTCAACTCTAGGACTATTAAATTATGAATAAGATTTCTTTTTGATAATGATATCAGCTCTTACTCTTTACTAAATTGTTGCTTATTGATTATCAATAATTAATTGATTTGAGTTATTGTGTTTATAATCTGATTATCTAGTATCATTATTTGAATCTAAAAGTTTCTTAGTAATTGCAGTTTTATTATCTAAATATTCTTTTATCTCATTAGATGTTTTCTAGCTTTTAACTTATTATTCTTGCTCCAATTAATTATCAATAGCCTGTTTATCATCCTATATCAGATATGTTTTATTATTTTATTCTATTTTTTGTTCACCTTAGATATCACCCAATTAATCACCATTTAACTTATTATCATCAATAATAACTGATTGACTAATTTGACAATTTTCATTTTTAATAACTAAGAAAGAGAGTAGAATCAGACCAATCTCTTAATCATTTTAATAAACTGGCAAGTAGAAATAATTTTTATCTTAGAACATTTTTAAGTTGAATCCTGTATGGCCAATTAATTATTCATCACTTCCGAAATGATTAATTAGTAAAAAATCAATGTTATCCTATTCTTGAAATATTAAATTGTTAAGAACCATGCTCTAATTAATAGGGAAGTATCCTTGTCTCTAATGCTTTGTTTGAATTACTTTTTAAAATTACGAATTTTTAATTTTAAGGCACAAATTATTCATATTGTCAAATTAGGTTATATTCATGCAGTGTACTCCAATTATTGCTTGCTTTTCTAAAGAATTTTAATTACAAGGAATAGGACACGAAGTTTCTATAGTAATGAATTAAAACAGCATTTTTATTTTGCCTATTTTATCTTCATTGTGATACAGATCAACAAATCTAATGTTGTATAAATTATTTGTGTATATATCAGTGATCTTGATTATAGCTTCCCCTATTTTACCCTCATCTCCTAATTCAGTATCAACAATCTAAAGCTTCAACTTCTTGTCGAAATCATTTACAATAATATGAAAATTTTCATCGCTAAAGTCTGGCTTTTTACCACTCTTTAACTATGTTTCACTTTTCATTATAATTTTACCATCACATTCTATACATAATTAAGCATCTATTTTTGAGAACATAACCTAATCTCTCCACAGACTACCTTCTTTGACAAATATTCTAAGCATTGATTATTTTTTCTTAAATTCCTCAAGCGGCACCAATTCTATGGCATTTACTAAATACTAGATTTCAATAATAGAATCATTTTCATTCTAAATGCACAAATTTTACACAACATCATTTTTATGATAATCTTAAATCTCACTTTATTTAAGTTGGCATTTATATTGTTGCAAAATTTTCGTATAATCATCCTAATCATAAATTAGAATATTTACATCGATACACGTTTTTTACTTCTTGTTAATGTCTGATCTAACTAAGATTTCTTCGTTTAATATTGATAGCTTGCTTAACTCGTAAATCTTGGTTTTAAAGATGTAATCAGGTGTGCAAATATGCAATTTAAGTTTCAAATCTTTCATTTTTGTGTCAAAGTTTATAAAATGCACACCGACCAATCGAATTTTATATGTTTTAAGCATATCTATGCTAAGTACTGCTCACTAACGTAAAAATACAAGATAAAAAATTATTAATCAAGTTTAATTTTTTTATATTCTATAGAATTTTTATATTCTAGAACTGGGGTTTTGGGGTTTTGGGGTTTTGGGG